CGCTCATTTCCCTTAGCATTATAGTTTCCAGTTGGGCCCATTTAGCCACAAAGAACTGCATTTTGTTTTTTTTAATAGCTGAGTAGTATTCCATGGAGTAGATGAACCAAAGCTTTCTTATCCAATCTTCTGCTGATGGGCATTTCGGTTGCTTCCATGTTTTTGCAATTACTGATTGTGCTGCTATGAACATAGGGATGCATGTTGGTTTGTCGTAAAACAGGTGTTTTGGATATATTCCTAGGAGTGCTATTGCTGGGTCATATGGTATGCAGATTTTGAGTTGTTTGAGTGTTCTCCAGACTGATTTCCATAAAGGCTGTACCAATTTGCAGCTCCACCAGCAGTGGAGTAGGGTTTCCTTTTCCCCGCATCCTCGCCAGCAAGCGTCGTTGGTGTTCTTGTTTATGTGGGCCAATCTTACTGGTGTTAGGTGGTACCTCATCGATGTTTTAATTTGGATTTCCCTTATTGCCAGGGAGCTGGAGCATTTTTCATATGTTTGTTTGCCATTTGGACTTGTTTCTTTGTGAAATGTTTGCCCATTTCCCGTGCCCATTTCTTGAGTGGCTTGTTTGTTTTGGTTTTTTGGTTGTTTTGAAGTTCTTTGTATATCCTGGAAATTAGCCCCCTATCGCCTATATAGTGTGCAAAGATCTTCTCCCACTCTGTGGGTTGCTTTTTTACTTTGTTGATTGTTTCCCTTGCTGTACAGAAGCTTCTTAGTTTGATGAGGTCCCATTTGTTTATTCTGTTCTCAACTGCTATTGCTTTTGGTGTCCTTCTTAGAAAGTCGGGACCTACTCCTAGGTCTTGCAGGGTATTTCCTACATTTTCTTGCAAGAGTTTGAAGGTTTCTGGATGTAGGTTTAGGTCTTTTATCCATGTAGATTGGATCTTAGTGTATGGTGATAGATGTGGGTCTATCTTTTTGTTTCTACAGGCTATCAGCCAGTTGTCCCAACAACATTTACTAAAGAGGCCTTCCCACTTGCTTGGACTGTCATTGGTCTTTTTGTCAAAGATTAATTGGCTGTATTTGTGTGGGTTCCCTTTTGGTGCTTCTATTCTATTCCATTGATCTTCCTTTCTGTCTTTGTGCCAGTACCAGGCTGTTTTGATAACCACTGCTCTATAGTATGTCCAGAGGTCCGGGATTGTGATTCCCCCTGCTAACTTCCAACTCTTACTCTAATTCTTATCCCATCAATGACTATTTACCTTCAGTCAAGCAGGTCCCCTGGTGATTCCACTAATACCCCCAAGTGCCAACCCCTGCTGTTTCAGAATCTTGGGGGCTCCCAACTAAACCCATGAAATGAGCACAAGCGCATTGGCTCAACAACAAAATGCAGAATTTCACCTTTGGTGAAGGCCAGAATCAACATTCCATAGAAATGTCCAGATACCAGCCTCTCCTGGAGCTTAGAAAGCAAAAGGTTACTGTGGTACACATTTGCTGCCATGGAACAAACAAACCTGTTTATATACACCCTGTCCTGAAGGATTAATCTTAACTGTTGAACTACCCCTAGAATTTTCCAGGAGTGGACAGGGGAAAAAGTTTGTTTCATCTAAAGAAAGTTGACAGTGCACACATTCTGGTTACATTTAAACCACACCTCCTAGGTTTAAAATCTCAAAGTCTTTCTCACACTAGAGATAAAACATGGCTCAAAAACAAACAAACAAACAAAAAAAAACTTTTCTGTGGGATTTAAGAGACTCTGACTCCAGCCTTCAATAATTTCCATCCAGTCCCAGTATCATAGCTTAGGAAGTAAACTGTCAATTCCCATATGGGTATGAGTTTATATCCTGGATACTCCACTTCTAATCCAGCTCCCTGCTAATGAGCCTGGGAAAGCAACAAAAGACTGGTCAAGCGTTTGAACTGCTGCCAACCAAGTGGGCATCCAAATGAAGTGCTAGATATCTAGCTTTGACCTGGCCCAGATCTGGCTATTGAAACCATTTGGGGAGTGAACCTGAGTATTTCAAATTCAAGCCTCAGGTCACTCTTTAAAAGCCATCTGTAGTTTTTTTCATAATACACATTTTTTCCGTGCATGTATTAAGGACCCCCTGATATGATACAAAAATTTTAAAAATTGCACCAAAATAAATGGATCATTAATTCCATTTTCCACAAACTTTGCAAAATAGCCTCATAAATGCAACAGAGGCCATATTTGGACATCAACAGCTGGAGATAACTCCCATAACCAATTTACCAATGGATAACAGCATTAAATTTGAATCTACAGAAAGATCAAAGAACATGCTTATAAATATTTCCCAGAGACTCAGGAGAGAAGGAAGGGAGCCCTAAAATGAAGCTGCCATGGGTTTTGGGACTCAAGCCCACTCCTCACTACGCTTCTCTGAGAAATTCTAGAAGTCATGCCAAAGGTCAGATTCTTAGGCAAGCTGTTTGCACTGGACATGTCTGTCACAGTGCTGCAAACTGTGGCCACCACAGAATATTACAGGGGTTTAAAGGGGAACAAGAAAATGGAAGCGACAGTTCTTGAGTACCCACTGGATGCCAAGAACTTTGCATGTTGTTTTCACTAATACTGTTATTACCCTGGCTTTACCAACAGAATCAGAAACTTGGAAAAAATGTCAGTTAAGTTTCTATGCCTCTCCTATTCAGCTTAAATGAAGACAGTTCCAAGAGCATGGGCTGGGGGAAATAAATGTTAAGAATACAGAAAAAAAGTTTCTGTGCCTCCACTATCATGCCAACCAGCCACGAAGTCTTACATGATCCCAGAAAGACAGTGAAATGCTAAAAGGTTTAAAGCATCATGTATCAGGCTATTAGTAACTTAACTCATTAAGCAGACAACACTCTTAAATACTACATTCACTCACTTACTGCTGGTAGAGCCAAGTTTTTCCCAACAGAAACAGAACAAATATCATTAAAACAACTGCCTTGTGATGTCATCCACAAGAGCATATGACAGGGAACTAACTCATGGCTGTTTTCACAACAGTGACCACAAAAAACAGAAAATGAAAGAGAAAATGGTGATCCAACATCAAAGAACAGTTCAAAAAAATCTTAGAATCTTCTCATTACGTAACTCAACATAGTTACTTTAAGTGATCATTCTAAAGACAAAGAATAAGAATTTGTGATCAAATAAGACCAAATACAAAACATTATATATGCTACCATTACAGCTGTATAAATGTTCATGTATTTATGCAAGAAACAGGGTGATTATGTTAAGGTGGTAAGATTCTGAATGATTTTATTATTATTACCAGGTGTACACTGTCCTTGTGGTGTTGTTTATTTCCTTTTCAATCACGGAGCAAAAGAGAGGAGAAAGAAAACAAAAGCAGAAACAAAATCCAACAGATTCAAATCTACTCTAAGAAAGGGCCTAGGAAATACTGGAAAGTCATCAGTGGTTTGCCCCTTTGCTTCTCCTCTTTCCTGAGGGACAACAACAAATAGCAATTCTGAAAGCAATGGATTCACCCAATTTTCCCTAAATCTCAATCCTTCCCACCCTAATCCACCATGTAATCATTATTTAAAAAATAAAATTTTTTAAAATACATAAAATATAAAAATATATCAATAATAAAACAAATATAAAAATAATAAAGTGAATGGGGGAAAAAAAGAAAGAAAAGGCCCAGGAAGACTAGGACTGAGATGTGAAGCAGACACGGAGACCGTCCTACATACCGGAAGGAGGAGGCCAGGCCTGCCCCCGGGGAAGGGAAGCCCTCTAGGTATGGACCAGGTTGTAATTAGTCTGATGCTAATTACAGAAGTCTAACTTATTAATTTTTTTTTGACAGACTGAATGAAGACTGAATTCCTTCATTAAGCCAGCCTGGGTTCAGAAGAACATTTTCTGAGTGGCCATCCTTACTCTCCTCGAAACTCTAGCCTTTGGGCCCAGTGCAATGGCTCAGGAGCTAAGTCCTTACCTTACATGTACCAGGATCTCATGCAGGTTCTGGTTCATGACCTGGTTGTTTCACTTCCCATCCAGATCCCTGCTTGTAGCCTGGGAAAGCAGTAGGTGACAGCCCAAAGCCTTGGGACCCTGAGCCCACATGAGAGATCCAGAGGAGGTTCCTTGCTGCTGGCTTCAGATCAGCTCAGCTCTGGCCATTGTAGCCACTTCGGGAGTAAACCAGAGAATGGAGGATCTTTGTTTCGCCTTTTCTCTGTAAATCTGCCTTTTTTTTTTTTTATCTCTCTGTAGATTTCTTTTCTATCTGCCTTTCAAAGAAAAATAAAATCTTAAAAACAAACAATAACAACAACAAAAAACTCTAGCCCTTTCCTTTCCAAGGACAGCAGTAAAAGAAACTTCAGTAACAAAAACATACACCCAGGAGAAATTAACGTTCTTGCCTTCAATGTAAACATTGAAATCATTTCAGAGAACCAAAGGGGCTCGAGTAAGCAACTGAACTACAATGTTTTCTACATGGGAAAATATAAACAGAAGTACAAAATATTTAGCTCTAGTATAAAAGGCTTCCTCCAATCAGGGACTAACACACATCTGAAATTATTTTCTAATTGCCCCTGCAGATACTCCAAGCAAACTGAACTAACTGCCAATGGTTCCTCAAAATATCTTCCCATCCCTACCTTCAAGACTGCGTTCAAACTCTTGTATCCACTGAAAGATTCTCTTCTCTCTTGCTCAGTCTGACACATCAAGGCACAGCTTAAAGCCATGTCGTTCTCTAAACCAAAGCCAATCTCTATACCCTAGGTTATATCTCATTCTTCAGAGTGGACCCACAGTTCTGTATTTTGAACCTCTCTTAATGGGTTTCACACCATCTACCTACTGGTGTAGTTATCTGGATAACTGGCCTTTCCACAACGGTAAACCATGAGCTCCTTCCAATTCCCACATGGAACCACAGGGTAACACCTAGCACACAGCGGTGCTTTCCTGAAAGAGGAAGAAAGAAACCCAGCTCATTTCTGGGAAGTCATTTTGTACCTCAGTTGCTCCCGTTAAACAATGCAGAGATGAAGGTATGCTGTTCCATGGTTTGGAGCAGGGCAGAGATGAATCCTGATTTTCTGGTTCCCAGCCATCATAAGATTCCAACTTCCTCCCTAGTTGACCATAGTCTGCTCGGCCCCAGGTAAACACCTTGCCAGTTTCTAAAAGTAAACATTATTTTAATTAGGCTTACATTCCACAGTTGTACTTTCTATGGTACATAATGAATTATAAGAGAAAATGGGAACATTTATTTTAGCACCAATCACTATGCTTGAGGGACATTCCCATGTTGCTATAAAGTAAGCATGAAAACCCAGAATTTTTAATGTGTGAAAAATAACGTTTAGAGAGGTTAAACAACTTTCGCAAGATTAAACAAGTGGTGAGTGCGATACCTTTAGATTAAAACAGAGGTTAATCCCAAAGCCCAAGCTCTTTTATTTTATATAGATACAAACATGGATACGACCACAGATAATACTGTAGCCACACTTCATGGCTTACCTACACCACCCCTTGTGCCGCCTCCCTGCAGCAACACTAAAAAAACTAGGACTCTAGAGGGCCTGGAAAAACGGGAACCGCCACAACTGGCACACACAACAAACGAACACACGAACAAACGAACACACGAACAAACGCACAAACGAGCCAAGGAAAAGCGGAACGAAAAGAAGGGCAAACGAACAAAAAGGGGACGGCGAACCAAAAAGGGGGTTTATTGCCGAAAGCGGGCTGCTTATATACAGTTCTCCACCAATCACTTCTCCCCGTGGGTCCACTTGGCACTATCTGATAGGCCAACAATCACGGGGGGGGGGGGGTGGAGAATTAGCCTATCCCTGTTTGCCTACTGGCGGGACAAATCCCGCCTCCTGGCCCTCGGCCAGCTGCCACCTTGTGACCGCCTAACATACACATGGGGTCAGCCGCTCCCCACATCCTTCCTCATATTCTCCTTGCACTTTGCCTGTATAACTTGTTTTCAGACTCTTCTAAATGACCCAATCCAGAGACCTGTTTTATCTCCTTGATTTCCCCATGCCATAAACTCTTGGGCCTTACTCTGAAATTGATTATTGGCCAACTGTGTATGTTTCTCCTACATGTATCATTAGAGGGCCTTTCAGAGTTGACGTTCTTACCAAAAGAAGCAATTCTAATAGCCCTAAGACAAGTGTCAAGTGTGTTTAAAAAAAAAAGGACAAAACCTTCTGGAGCCAGAAAAGTATTCAGTCCCCTAGACTGGCACAGGAAACTATCCAGTGCTGAAGTTACTGAAGAAATTTGAAAAAGAAGAAATGGCCTCACTTCTTCCAGCCAAAATTCAACAAACTCATTCAGCTGCACCAAGTGCCACATTTGTTATTTCAACAGAAGTGCAAAATCGGATGAGGCATAGATTATTAACAGATTCTCTGCAATAAATATGCATAACCATGTGCACTGTATAAATTCTTTATACATGTTTATTTTAACAAAGAAAAACTTTGCTTAAGAGACAAAACACCAAGTATGCATATTAAATTCTAGACAAATCTACTACATACTCTATGTTTAGTATCAAAGCTTCATCTGGCCCCACATTCAACATATGGTTTATAGTGTCAGCTACAAAACATACATAGATTCATGGAGGAAAAGTCAGACTATCACAAAGACACAAGGCTCTGCAAAGATACTGTTCTCAGGATCGGTCTGCTTGCAGACACTAAGGTAGATTGAAAGCAGTTCAAGGATTCTGACTTCCGAGCTTCTCCCAAAGGGGAACAAAGTCTGTGCAGCCCACGGGGCCCCTGGTATATTACAAAAACTGGGAGTGGTTCCACTCCATCGTGCTGCTTCATTGCTCATGCTGTCCCTTATGCTGGGAATGCCCTTACCTGGTGAGCTACGGTTCAACCTTTACAGCTCAGTTCATGCACCCCTAGTTCTATGAACTCTTTCTTAAATCCTCAACATTCTGCAGAAAGGGTGAAAGCCATCCTCCTGCAAGACATATTTAGTACTGTGGCCATTAACTACAATGTCTTCATTTAACAGGTAGGAAAATGAAGGCTGGAAAAAGTGATCCACCCAAGGTCACATGACAAAAATACTTTTATTTTTCCTACTAGTACTACTCTGCACCAGTTATTACACTAGTCTGTGCCACTGTATGATCATGCAACACGCTTCCTTCACATCTACAAGAATAGACAAATCCATGTGCCCGGGACACAGCAAGCACCCAAACTAGCAACCTGCCCTCTGAGCTGGCCAGGGCTGACAGCCAGACTGCTTAAGCGGAGACTCCCAGGAAGCCAGAGGATGAGACTGATTTTTCTGAAATGATCGTAGCATTTCACTGCTGGGAAGAAGGAGGAAGTTAATATCTGTAAGACTATGGAAAGACTGTATTATCACAAATCACGCAATGAATCCTATCTTTCAGAACATCTTAGAACTTCCTCCGTTATTGATTACTGATGTCTAAGGCAAGCAAGACTGCCAGAGTATGGTGCCACCATTATTACATCTCCGATAGCAATTCAACCATTCCCCTTATGTAGCACTTTTCACCTTCAAAGCACTTTACAAAGATTAACTAATTAATCCTCATCCTCCCTGGGGAGGCCACAGAGGCTGGAGGAGAGACAAGCCCAGAAACCAGGCCAACTTGATACTCAGTCTCAGACTCAAGCCCAAACGTTGCACTCCCTGAGCCTGGCTCACTCTTTATCCTCAGAACACAGCCAAAGGAGATCACTCACTCCTCTTTTTCCTTGAAACTAACATTTATTGACCATCACTCAGGTATCCTGCCCATTCACAGACTCTATCTCAATTAATTCTCATAACTCTGATATACAGATGATTAAGCTTATTTTACAGATGAGGAAAAATGACTTTGAGAGGTGAAATTATTTCATTAAATTCCAAGCAGGTGGTGGAGTCAAGATTTAAACCTGTTTCTGACTGCAAGTCCAAATATCTCTACAATGATTGCACAGCTGCTATGGTAAACTGATGAAAGATGGCTGGGGAGACAGCCACTTCTACAATGTTTGAGTACAGGAAAAGCCCAGATTAAGTGGATATGTTCTGTGTACCATCCAGCTTTCTACACCAGAACAACCTCCTTCTCAGGAGGCTATGTAGAACTCAGGACTATATAAAGACATTAAATACATGGATTAAGATCTTATGTTACCTGCAGTAAGAGAAAACAATGACCCTACATACAAAAAAAGTTCATTAATGCACTGCAGATAGATGTCCCGAGTTGAGGCATGCTATGACATGAGATCAGATCCCAAATTTAACAAATGAATCTTTTCCTTACAGTAAAGATTTACATATGACTGACTGCAATAAAAAGAAATAGATATATTAGGTCATCCAAAAAGTCTATACTGGCAAATGTCTCAAGATAAATGATAAATAAAGAAATGACAGGGCACAACACTGTAGCCTAGTGGCTAAGGTCCTCACCTTACATGTGCTGGTTCATGTCCCAGCTGTTCCACTTCCCATCCAGCTCCCTGTTTGTCTCCTGGGAAAGAAGTTGAGGATGGCCCAAAGCCTTGCAACCCTGCACCCATGTGGAAGACCCAGAAAAACCCCTGGCACCTGACTTTGGATTGGTTAAGCTCCAACAGTTGCAGCCACTTAGGGATGAATCAACAGAGGGAAGAATTTTCTCTCTGTCTTTCCTTCTGTCTGTAAATCTGCCTTTACAATAATAAATAAACAAATCAATAAATCTTCTTTAAAAATGAAGAAATGACAAAATAAAGCCAACAAATGAAACATAACTTAAGACACATCCATGAGAGAAGTAACACAGAATAAATGCAGTCAAGCAGCACACATTGCAAAAGGTCTTGATGTAATACAGAAAACACCAGGAGCCAGTGGAGTGGAACAAAGACCTTCCAAGGAGCTCGAAGGAAGAACTTCAGCTACAACCATCCTGACAGTATTGACAGAACAGGTGGTATTTAAAATAACTTCTGGATATGAAAATGAGATAATGATGGAGGATACTGCAGGAACAGGGAGAGGGCTTGGGCACTAACATGTAAACTGAAAGGCACAAGATAAGGAAGGAGCATGACTGAGGGTCAGAAGGGACAAGACCAAGAGAAAAGTCGCAGCTGCCCGGGTTAGGCCAGTCACAGGGCATTGCCAGGTTCCTTTCTGGAACTCATCCTCCAGGGCAGGGGTCCGCAAACTTGGTTGCTTGCTCTCCTCGAGCAGAAAAATTATTTTTGCAATTATATCAATTTTGTACTTTCACTGTATTAAAAATATGTACCTGCATTATATGAGTTACAAATGTGTGTCCTCACTGAAAATATACAGCACAAACCATAAAAGCAAAAAGTACAAAATCTAAAATTAGATAAAACATATGAAAGAAGTCATAGTTTCTTCCACATCTTGGTAATTCATCTGGCATGTCCATCCTAGGAACGCCTGTTAACTGTAGACTTTGAGCAAGAGTGGGCCTGATGAAAGGACTTGGGATGGGAAAAGATCAGAAACAGGCAGAGATAACAACACTCAAGCAAATGCTTCTGAGCAATCTCAAAGCACATCCTGTTTATTCCTTCAGCAAGCTTCCAGAAGAGGCACAAAATCATAGAGGCTGTGAATAAGCACGGAAGAAGGAAAGCCCTGTGACTACACAAGCCTAAGATGTATCCAAGGCCTAAAACCAGGTTGACATCAAAGAGGAAAGAGACCACAGATTTTAAGGCACTGAAGGTCATGCCACAAAACTGTGTAAGAGGTCTTAAAATCCAATCCCTCACTTTGTGGATGGAGAATCCAGATTTCTAGCAGAAAAGAGACTTGCATAAGACCACATGTCTTTAAACAGACATCAGAGTGCTAGCACCCTGGCATAGCAGGCTAAGTCTCTATAGTGTCGGTATCTCATATGGGCACTGGTTCAAATCCCAGCTGCTCCACTCTTGATCCAGCTCCTAGCTTATGATCTGGGAAAGCAACAGAGAATGGCCCAAATCTTTGGGTCCCTTCACCTAGGTGGGAGACCTGGAAGAGGCTCTGAGCCCTGGTTTCAGATCAGCCCCGCTCTGATCATTGCAGTCATCTGAGGCATGAACCAGCAGAAGCAAATTCATTCTCTCTCTCTCTCTCTCCTTCACTC